AACGTGATACATCCTAGGGTAAATGTCACTATAGCCCTTTCAACTATCATCATTTATCCTATTTGGTCACTAAAGTATTTTTTTTGCTCAATAAGTCATTAAACTTACAACTTACATGTCCATTAAGTCATTTTCGTTAGTTTTTAACAGATCTTCCATTAACCAGTTATTATAATTTACAAGAATGGTCCCTATGATTTCAATTTCTTTCGTGGTTGGTCCCATACCAGCATAGTTCACCACCGACGTCACCACCGTTCAATTCCGGCAACCACCACCCTTCACCTCGGGCAACCCCGTCAACTATTATAATCAACCTTTCTCTTACACCCACTTCATATACATCGTATTTCTCTCTATATAGATAGAACCTCATTCTTCTTCTTGCTTCTCTATCCTTCAAGAACACTAATTACAATGGAAGGAAGTTCCACCGATGATCAAAGCAGAACTACATAAACAACTTCAACAGTTGCAGCATCGGTGACTACGCCTCCACTGATCGGCAGTGGGGGCAGCATGGTTCTTGACACCGGTGAAGCGAGGTTGGAAGCTAGTTTCTTGAATTCTCATTCAAAAGCTAAGATCGTCGATATGTTGAGGAAACACACATACAATGATGAGCTAGAACAAAGTAAGAGAAGTTGCAGCTTAAACAAAACCCCTTTAAAAACGGGTTTAGATCGGGTGACAACTTGGTCAACGCCCGGGAACAACTTTTTGAGAAGACAGTCATCCCCATCAACAAAACTGAACAACTTTTAGAGCCGATTCGTGAAGGAAAATAACTTAAAAGTTGGTGACCACGGGTTTAGACAAGCAACTTTACATCGACTAGAAGACAAAAAACAGGTCAGGTAGCTCTAATATTCAAGAACAAGCAACTTTACAACATGTTCAAGAACGGTAGTGGTGCAGGTGACGAACGATGCTAGTAAAGGACCAACCATGAAAGAAATTAAAATCATAGGGACCATTTTTGTAAATTATAATAACTGGTTAACAGAAGATCTGTTAAAAACTAACGAAAATGACTTAATAGACATGTAAGTTGTAAGTTTAATGACCTATTGAGCAAAAAAAAATACTTTAGTGACCAAATAGGATAAATAACGATAGTTGAATGGGCTATAGTGACATTTACCCTACATCCTACAAGCTTCTTTTTCGAAAATTGAAATACACCTAAATATAGCATGTAAATACCATTAAATGAAGCAAAAATGTTACATACATGCCTTTGAAACTTACAACCTATAGAAAATATGTTGAAACCAACACATATACGATGAATTTATTACAAATAAAAGTTCAATAGTAAAACTACAACATTATCCATCAATTAATCGCCATCTTCACACCACCCGTCTCTACTCTTTCTTAGGGCTATAATACTGATAGACCGTATAAAATGTTTGCAAAGCCGCAAAAGAAAGCAACAAAAAGGCCGCGAAAGCTGAAATTGCAGCCCATGGGCTCTCAAAATATCTATGCTTAAACCCAGCCAAATGCACATGCCACCCATTCTCGCAATACTCATTTACTTCCACAAACAAACCTGTCAAGTAATTATCTTTTATATTAAAAGCTACATCTTTTCCAACACTTTTGAAAAATTTTGCTAGCTCTTTATCCGTTCCAAAATAATTCTCAATAATTTTGTCTTCCGAAAGCAAACCCACGTCAGTTGAAGTGTTCATTAGACATCCCATGAACACAATGTAAGTTGTAATATGTTTGGAGCAATGAAAATAACACAGCTCGAAAGCAATACAGTTCAAAAAGAACGAACTGTAAAAATCGTCCATGTTTATTTGAGGAATCAAAAGAACACCATTTCGGAACTCAATGTCCAAGAAGCTATCGGGTTCATGACTTGCCTTAAACTTAACTCCAACGATCTTGAGTTTGTTCGCTGGGGGGATAAGTTTAAGGTAAGAGTTATTGATCTTGAGTTTGGTCGGGGTTTGGATAAGTTTTTGGGAAGAGTTTTTGGATATGTCAAAGGTGGGAACTGGGTTTTGTTCTTTAGGGTTTATGAAACTTTTTCGGAAAAAATCTAGTAAATG